AGCATACGTTCCACCACATGTTTACCCCGCCGCAATATAGTTACACTGGAAATGGCATGACGTCACATGTGCAAATGCCATCAGTGATCACCGAAGAAACGATCGTTGTTGATCAAAGTGGAGCTGCGTATGCGACAGATTCTACAGGAGTGTTCAATTGAGCGACATTGACGGAGACAGACAATGAGCTTTCGAGTCTTCCTCTTGCGGTCGACGAGGAGGACTGTGTCTGTAGGAGTATATCCGACACGCAACACACTGCACATTTGGCTCTTTGCTTAACTAGATCGACACCAACGTACCACCTTATCAACATTGAGAGCAACGCGTTGTGCGTCCATTTAGTTATGAGTTAGTGCGGATACGTCTGCGGCGCTTGCATGACGTTGTGTATCTCCATGGTTGATGTACTAGTAAACTTACGCTCAGTACTTGCTAGTCGGACAGTCTAGGAGAGCCGTTGCAGCTCGACAAGCCTCGTCGCGGTCGCGGATGGCCGTCGTGTCGACGTTCGTGGTTGTGCAAACGTTGGCCGCCAGCACCGAACCAGTGAAACGCTGAGATGGACTAGATAGCCAATCGTGAGGCATGCATACAATGGCTATATGCTCGACAGCGCCCGTTGAAGCAGCTAGCTGCCTGCGCGTTCTACCACAAGGGTACATGCATGCGACCGTGATGCCACCGCTTTGATGGCTTGCTCCGAGTAAGAACCAGGTTGAACTATCGAAAAGGAAGCGATGCCATTGGCCATAATGCGACCACCTGTCATTCCCAGAGCTTTTTCGATTGGCTCTATTTAAACTTTCGATCGATCTTTTTTATAGCTTGAGGTTTCTATACTCCTTCGATATTTTGGAAATAAAAGCTCGCGCTGGCCAGCGCACGAGACAAGAAATTCCCAACTCGTGAGTATGAGCAGCAACCAGGACGAGCCGCTCCGTCTCGCCGGGCAGGTCGACCTGCGCGAGGTCCTCGACGGCAGCAGCGCGTGCTTCCGGCTCCAGTTCTCCGAGGACGTCCGCGCTAAGGAGCTCAAGTGGGTCCTTTTCACCGACACGCGGCGCGGCGCCATCGGGAAGCTCATTTTTACGCTTGAAGCCAACCACTCTGCCCACATCAAGGTCATCGACATCAACCAAAACTACCGCAACATGGGCCTCTCTAAGCTACTCTTCCTCGCGACGACAGCGACGCTGCAAGCGCGCAACATCACGGAGCTCGTGCTCGAGGCCGAAGAAGACACACGCCGGTATATACCTTCCTCCACTTTGGCCATTACGAGGCTCATGCGATTGCAGGCATAAGAAGCTCGTCGGCCTCTACGAGACGTGGGGCTTCACGGTCAAGCCCAACGCCAAGATTCTCTTCCTGTACAACGACACGCAGAGTTTCCGGAAGGTGCCCATGGCACTGCCGCTTCACGTACGTAGAAGCATATCTTCGCATCGTCATGGTTCTCTCTATAGGCCAAGGAGCCTATCCCGCTCGAGTCCATGGGTCCGCACTCGTTCTGCATGATCTCGCTGCGGACGATGGACGGCGTCTTTGTCGTCGCGTCCGAAGACGGCATGATCGACACGACCACGGGCAAGTCCCGTGACGCCTTCTGGCAGACCATGCTGCTCGGCTCGACCAACTCGACGCTCAAGGGCGGGACCATCTCGCTACGCAGTGCGCACGGCAAGTTTCTCTGCGTCGAGCCCATCGGCAACGTCCTCGCCGACCGCTTTGTCAACTCGACATGGGAGACGTTTGACGTTCTCGCGCATCCCACGTCAGGCGGCGTCGCGCTGCGCAGCTTCCACGGCAACTACCTCGGGCTCGACAGCGCTCGCGGCCTTACCATCTCGGCCGAGCCTATCGCGTGGGACGGCGACGCGATCAGCATGCTCACGTGCGACAAGACGCAGGCCACGCCGGTGCATGCCAAGCTCCTGCGCAAGTACCAGACCATGCGCTTTGCCCAAGCGCAGGCGGCCATGTTTGCGGGGCTCCACCACGACGCGCTCTCGATCGACGATGCATGCAAGGCGCTGCTCCGCCTCAACGGCGAGTCGGGTGCGGCAGCCACGAGTCAACTGTTGAAGCACATGCTGTACGACGGCAACGCCATTCGCGCCGAGGGTCATCCCGATTGGATGCAACTGCTTGTGTTTTTGTACGTGGCATATGCGATGGTATTCCGGTAGTGATATCGTGCGAGTAGGCGCGCCCTGGGCATGCTCTTCCTGCTCTGGTCCGACGACCAAGACAGCGTCGTCTTGCGCGGTATCTCGGCCACGCGGTGGCTCGACGAGACGTCAACGTGGGTCATGGGCGTGCCGATTCCCGACACGATCGCGCACCCGAGTCTCAACGCACTCAATGCCGACCACAAGACGCCAGCAGCCAAGTACGAAGCCGGCGCAGGGATGGCCCAGGTCGTCATGCCGTGGACACCGGAAGAGTATTTGTTCCTTGTGCTTTCTGGGAACAAGACGCAGCTGCCGGACGAGGCGCTGCCGCTTCTGCGCTTCTTCTCGTGCCACGTGTGGCACCAACACGATGCGTACGCCGACCTCGCGACGCCCGACGACCTGGACGTCCAAGACATGGTAATTGCAGCGTTTCTTCGAATTTTGATATTGATACAATGATACTTTGTAGCTGCGCGGCTTGCACTATGGTCGGGTTCCACCGACGGCATGCGACCTCGACGCTATCGACGTTGACGCGGCATTGCCCTACTATCAGAGCCTCTGTGCCAAGTACTTGCCGCCCGTGCTTCAGTGGTAGCGCGTCATCGTTGTCTGTCTCTGTCTATTGCGTGGCTTTTATCCTGCCATTCCTACGCACCTTCATCACGTGAATATATATACACTAGTATCAAGCTATCAAGTGCCCAAACTTCAGAAACCACGAGCTCACGACGACCAGGCTCTCGACCGTCGGGACAGAGAAGGGATAGGAGAAGGAACGCGTGTTCCCTGGGGCCCGGATCTCGCATGTGGCTGATCTTTTTGGAAAACTATCAATGTATCGATCTCGGACGGTTATAAATACAAGTTGTCATCGTGCACGCGGTCGAATTTCCACACGTCGCTGCAGTCGTCGGTATTCCAGTCGATGACGTAGTCTTCGTCGTCGTCCGCATCCGTCTCGTCGACCTCGGGCTCGGGCGCCGACGTTGCTTTCTCAGCCGCCATGGCCCATGGCACGGACGCCCGTCGGTGGTGGTGCTTGGCGATGCGTGGTGTCGCCGGACTGGATGGCATCTCGATCGGTGCTTGCAGTGGCGCGAGGAGTCGCTTGACCGGCACGACCGCCGTCACCATTTGGTAGCTCTGGAGCTTCCGCGAAAGAAACGACCCAAGGAGCGGCTTCTTGGAGTCGTTGGTTGGCAGCGGAAACACGGGCTCGCTCCACGGTACTTTGTCTCGTGTTCCGCGTGGACTTCGAACCTCGCTTTGGCTCTTCTTTTGTTTCGTCATCGCCCACTGCACGCCGCCGCTCTCGGTGCGGGCGGCGTCTAGCAAATTGTCAACTTGGTGCTGGAGCTGCGTCTTGTCGTCGCCCTATACACACGTCTCGCACCCTTGACGCGCGTCGCTACGGGCTCACCAGAAAGGCCCACGGGCAGATCGGGTCAAACACCAAAGCTGGCGACGTTGTCCTGGCGACGACCGACGTCTCCCAGTTGGCCCGCGCCGTCAACGCTGCCGTCGTTGCTTGGATCATGTGCAGGTCCATGCGGCGCGCCTTGGCATCGCTAAGCTCGAGCACCGTGACGGTCGTTGTCGCCATGTACGTTGCGTCTTCAGTATCATGGAGCGCAAAGACGCTGGCGCCAAAAAACTGCTGAGGGCCGAGGCTCCCGACGTGCACGACACCCCGACTGTCATCTGGCGCCGGCTTGTAGACTCCGACAACGCCCGCAAGGAGGAGAAAGAAGCTGGGCGCGTGGTGGCCGTGGCGCAGGAAGATGTGCTGCGCGTGGTACGTACCCTCGGTCATATCGAACGCAACCCGGATGCACGCTTTGTGGTCGGCCTTGGGGTACAGCTCGTGGAGGTAATCGGCGCGCTCAATGATATAATGCCGAATGCGAAACCCGGGAAGGAGCCGCGCAAAGTGGCGGCGCTGGAGCACGATGAGCTCGACGTCGGTGGCCGCGACCGCCGACGCCGACCGCGGCATGTTGGTGACCAGCGTGAGCTCGCCAAAGCTGTCGCCGCCTGTCAAGGTCGCGACCACATGGCCGACGCTGCCATCGCCGTCCTCAAAGACGACGCTGACGTCGCCGCTGAGCACCATGTAGGCCTTGCCTTCGATCGAGTTTTGCTTGAAAATGTACTTGCCACGGCGGACGATCGCAAATTCCATGAGCCGCGCGAGCTGCGCCGCCATGAGGAACTTGCCGTCGCGCTTGGTGTCGTCGGTGCGAAATTTTTCGAGGAGCGTCGACGTCTCGGCGAGCCGCCCGAGGAAGGCGACGTCGTCCGGCGGGCGATCTCTCGACGGCTCGGTGTTGAGAATGCGCTTGGTTTCGAAGCGAATGACCTTGCGCGCCGAGATCGGGTCGAACCAGTCGATGCGGTTCGAGATCGACGGAAACCCGAGCGCAAGCCGTGGGTTGGCAAACACGCGCCGGTACAAGTCGGTGTACATGGTTTTGCCGGCAAATTTCTGCGTTTGAATCGACTGGAATTTGCGCACGAGCTTGACGAGGTGCTCGACGACCCGCGGGTTGCTGTGCATGGCCTCGAGCCGCCGCAACATGCTCCACTCGTTCGAGACGGTCGTCGCCATGACACCGCCATCGGCGTCGTGCGCGCCGCCCGTTTGCGCTTTCACAAAGCTCTCTCGGTTCATGATGATGCATACGATGGGTCCGACCGCAATGACATCTAGCGCGACTATGAGACATGTTGAACGGACCGCATGCTTGTTACCGGCCGTCCGGGGCTTGCCGAAGAGGCCCATCTCCCCAAACCCTTGGAAGGACACTTTTCGAAGCAGCTCGACTTCGACGCCGTTGGGCCGGATGCAGATTTTGGCTTCGCCCTGCGCACGTATCGCTGGCCAAACCACTCGCAATGGTCGACGCATCTACCTCGACAAGGACAAAGTACTGGTCGTCCATTTCGCCGAGCTTGCAGACGTACGCGCCATCCTCGTACGCGCGTAGCGTCGAGAGCCCGAGCATGCGGCCGCGCTGGGGCAGCGTCAGCGCGGAAAAGACGTTGAGGTTGTCGAGCACGCCGTTCTCGCGCATCTGAAGGCGGTAGCGCATGAGATCCCGGACAGCGCCGAGGTACACATTGCAGTGGTGCAGCGACATGGCAAAGCACTTGACATCGCCGACGGCAATCGCGTTGGCCGTGCGCTGCACCGAGAGCGCGTACGCAAAGGCCGACTCGCCTAGCGTCGAGAGAAGGTCATGTCCACGAGTTGAGACCGAAGAGTACCAAAGTACTCGAACTCGGTGCGCGTCGACACTTGCTGCTGGTCGTCCTTGTTGAGCTTCTTGAGCCGCGCGCGCGTGATCTGGACCGTGCCACTCTCGACGATGTAGATGTCCGTGTCATTCTCGCCTTGCCGTACGATGAAGACGCCGTTGTCAAAGTGCAGTGGCGTCAGCGCGTCCATGAGCTGCGTGCTCAGCGTCCCAGATGCGATCGCCATGGCTATGTCATCGTCATTCGCAGCATCGCCGAAGCGGATATGGTCGTACTCAGGATCGGGACGTTGGCCACGAGCTGGCGCTTGCGCTCGCCCATGTCGAGCTCGGCGGCCGGCGCTTTGGGCGCTGTGACGGGCGCCACAATTATGGGCTTGGTGTACACGAGGCTCGTGCGCTTGCCTTCGGGCGCGACCACGGTGCGGCGCCGGCCCATGTGCTCGGCCTTTCTGAAACGCTGGCGCGCGGTTTCAAGCGGCTAATTCCACCCAACTCGCCAGACGATCCACGACAGCTCGTCGCATCCACTGGCAAAGCCATTCAGATCTCAGCGACCACCGAGGCGAGACAGGCGGGGCACCGTGGCGATACCACTAACATCCTCGATCGACGCTAGGACGCAACGTCCTAGGCGCACGCCAAGTTCTTACTGCTGCACTGTACACTACGTGTCAACGACCACGAGGTCCCATAAAAACCCAACTATATTACCTACTTCAGGTTGCATCGCCCGACCACATAATATTGGAATATTGGATGGGGCGATCCAATATGACTACGTTAGAGAGGGCCGCCAAGGACGCGGGGTCGGATGCAGTGGGTGGTGTGCAGAAGAACGAGTCGTCAGCCGCTTGCAAGCTCTGGTTCCTTCCCGCCAGCACAGGCTGGTCCGACAAGTTGGGTGCGATCAAGCGGGCAATTCCCTTCTTGCACTCGCTGGCAACCGAATTCGAGATCGGCGTTTGACTTGCGGTTTGTATGGGGCCACGTGGCGATCGCATTTGGCGGGTTTTGAGCCACCGAATCGAGCCGCCCGAACGGGTCCATGAATCCAATATATTCAATATATATTGTGCCCCGGCCGCAAGATCCGACTTCGCCCCCACGGCCGACGCCCAAGACTGACGACGGAAGATATGGACTCGGCGACGCTGCACAACATCCTACTGCACACCTTTAGCGAGGACGCGGGCGCGCGCTCGGCGGCGGAGGCGGCCATCAGCGGCCTCCACAGCGTGCGCGGCTCGGTCGTGCTGCTCGTGGAGCTCGCAACGCGGCCGGACGTCCAGCGCGAGATCCAGCAGGCGGCGGCGATTTTGCTCAAGAACCTCATCCAGGGCCATTGGGGCCACGACAGCGACTGCCATCCCGTCGAGCCCGAGGCCGTCTTCCCGGACGCCGACAAGGACGAGTACCGCAAGTTTATCCTCCAAGGCCTCTTTGACTCGCACGTCAACTCAATCCAGAACCTCATGGTCGAGTCCGTCAACATTATCGCGCGCCAAGACTTTCCTGTACGTGTCTTTTCAGGTTCATAGCCGCGGGATGAACGCGCATGATGCAGGAGCGATGGCCGACGCTCATCGAAGACATTCGCGCGACGCTCCAGTGCGGCGACCCGCACCGCATCTGCAACGTACGTCTCGTGAAGCTTATGCGCTTGGATGCATCGAGGACATGGGTAGGCGCTGCTCGCCCTCCGCAAGGTCGTCAAGATTTACGAGTACAAACCGCCCACGGTACGCTCTTCTCCTATACGCTCGGATGATTCACATGGTGGTATGTAGCAACGCGAGACGCTCAACGTGATTGTGGTCGCGACGTTCCCGCTCCTTCGTACGATGCTGCAGCAGCTCTTGAGGTAGACCTCCTTGTCCTCCAAGTCTTTCTTGTCGTCATCTCAGAACGCGATTGTAGTAACCCGTCGATCGAGGCGGGGCACATGGTGCACTTGATCTGCAAGATCTTTTGGTCATGCGTACAGTGCACGCTGCCGCCATACTTGACGACCGAAGAGATGACGGGCTGGATGGAACTGCTCAAGACGCTCATGTCGAAGCCCATGCCCGAGCTGCCGGGGCCCACATCGCCCGACGACGAAGAGACGCGCCACCGCCATCCGTGGTGGAAGGCCAAGAAGTGGGGTATCCAGATCATCTCGCGCTTTTACACGTCGTGGGGCAACCCCAAGCATGCAACCGCGTCCCAGGAGATGGCGACGTTCTTTCGGTCGACGATCGCGCCGCATCTGCTCGTCTCGGTGCTCGAGACGCTGGCGCTGCGTCCGCAAGGCCACTTTTGCCCGGACCGCGTCGTCCAGCTCTGCCTCGTGTACCTCCAAGAAGCCATCATCTCGGGCGCGTCGTACCAGCAGCTGTTGCCGCATCTGGACTTTGTGCTGTTCAAGGTCCTCCACCCCGTCATGTGTCTCACGCCGTCCGACCTCGCCGTGTACGAAGCCGACCCGCAAGAATACGTCCGCCGCACCAACGACGTCATGGGCGAATACCTCCACCCGGTCTATGCGGCCGAGACGCTCCTCTCGGACCTCTGCACCAAGCGCGGGAAGCACTGCGTCTCGAAAGTGCTCGGGTTTTACAACCACATTCTCGTGACGCCGGCCAACGACGACGACGGCTGGATCCAAAAAGAGGCCGCCTTGCATGCACTCGGTGCCCTCGATGCCTTCCTGACGCTGTCGCCCGCCCACCAGTCGCAAATGGAGTCGATCGTGCTTGCGCATGTGCTCCCGGCCTTCCAGAGCCCCCGGGGGTACATGCGTCTCCGTGCGACCAAGATGGTATCGCGCAACTACATGACCAAGCTCGTGTTTCAAGACTCGACCATGACGCAGCTCGTGAGCTGTGTGCTCGCAACGCTCCAGGACCCGGATTTGCCCGTGCGCATTGAAGCCGCCAAGAGCTTTCGCCACCTTGTCATGTACAACCACACGACGATCGTGCTCGATGTGCTTCGCCCTGTGCTGCCGACGGTCCTCGAGCAATTCTTCAAGATCATGGACGACATGGGCTTCTCGGACGAAGTCATTTTGGCGCTCGAGCAGCTCATCGATCAGTTTTGCGACGAAATGGGTCCGTACGCGGTCCAGCTCGTCTTGCGCTTGAGCCAGCGCTTCAAGCAGTGTCTGGACGCGGAAGACGACGAAGACGACGCGTGCTTGACGGCCGCGTCGTGCCTCGACACGATCAACACGGTGCTCATGAGCATTTACAACCACCCGGAGCTCTTCGAACCGCTCCTCGACGCGCTCATTCCGATTCTTCACCTCTTGTTGAGCTCGGACAGCTACATTGACTTTGTCGAACCGGCGCTCGATATCGTCAAGTCGATCACGTTTTACTCCAAGTCGATCCACCCGAAAGTGTGGCTCCTCTTCCCGTCGCTCTTCCGCGGTGCGGACGCGTGGGGCAGCGAGTACATGCACTCGTTCGTCGCTGTCCTCTTTAGCGTCATTGGCCGCGACGCCAACGGGTTCCTCCAAGGCGTGCTCCAAGTCAACTTGCCGACCGGCGTCAAGCGCATCTCGTACCTCGAGCTCGTGTTCAACTTTGTGCGCAAGCTCTTGCACAAGCCCGAGGTCGACGAAGAAGACGTCTGGGGCGCGTGCCAGACCATGGACTGCATCCTCTTCAACTGCGACGGCATCGATATGTTTGTGCCGCCGTGTTTGCAGCTCGTGTGCATGCGCCTCAGCCGCACGCCGCAGCATGACACGCGCGTCGTCACGTCGCTCCTCGGGGTCGTGCTCTCGGCGCTGCACTACAGTGTGCCCTTGACGCTCTCGGTGCTCGACAAGATGACGGTCGTCGACCCGGTCCTCAACTCGCTCTTGCGGAATGCCGACGTGCGCACGCGCTACTCGGAGCAAAAGGTGTTTGTACTCGGCATGGTCTCGCTCCTCCGCGTGCCCCAGGCCGAGCTCCCGGCTGTCGTCCAGGTATGTTGGATACCATCTTGGATCATCTTGGATCATTTGTATCCAGGCGCAATTTGCCAACATTGTCATGCTCGTGCTGCAAAAGCTCACGCACATTGTCGAGGCAAGCCGCCACTCGACCGATGACGGACTGCGGTCGTACCAGGACCGCAACGACGAGACGCTCAAGGCACTCATTGACCAAGGCGGGTACGACTCGGGCGAAGACGCCGACACGTCGCTCAAGGAAGAAGAGTACGCGAGCATTCTCCGCGATCTCGGCAAGGTACGCTTGATACATTGATAGTACGCCAACGGTGCAAACTCGATCTAGGGCGGCTCGGACGCGTACTTTGACGACGACGACAAGGACTACTTCAGCAGAATAGACAACATTGATGAATTCGCGCTCTTCCTCCAGACCATGCATGGTACATTTGCGACCTGGCGAGGTGGACGTCTCATGCTTCTTGTTATAGCCCTGCAGACGGACCAGCCGCAGGCTTTTGAGAGCCTCGGGCTCGCCAACAACGCCGAGTACGCCCAGGCCTGCCAGGTAGATCGACCATTCGTATCCTCTTCTTACTGCTGCTAGCTCTTTACGCATGAGATCCATCGTCGTCAGGCCGACTCGGCGGCGTAGGTTTTTCACATGCTGCGTTTTCCACGTGTGGGAAATGAAGCGTGGTTTTGTCCCTTGGAATAAATATCTAGGTTGTCGTATTCTTTGTTGCGTGTTTTTTGTCCGTGGGAGAAAACTCACATGAGGGGAAAAAGACACGCGGTGGCAAATGAATGTTCCGGAATCATTAAATTAAAAAAGTAAAAAGAATAATAATACACGCTCTAGACCGCAACATCGCGGAGGAGGTCATGGGACAGAATCAAGTCGAGGTGCCCCGGGTGCGTGCAGAGATGGCCGAGGTACGTCTGGATGAGCTTGACCTGGCGGATGAGGTCCTCCATGCTTGGCACGTGCACAAACTTGACCGACTTGGTCTTCGCCAAGGGCATCTTGCATGAGAACGCTTGGAGCGCGACGCGCTCGTAGTGCGAGTCGCCAATCGAAATGATGTGTTGCTGCGCATGGCTCTTCTGGCCCATGATCTTAGCGAGCTCCGACGTGAAGCATGCGACCTTCCACTCGTCGACCGGGTACGTGGCCTCGAACGCAGTTCGCGCCGAGACGATCTGGATGTTCGAGAGAAGAGGCAGCAGCGAGGGCATGAAGCGCGCGCACGATGCCTCGACCCAGCCCGCTTCGCCGTTGGTGATAATGATGCAGGCACGGTTGGCCTCAATGCACGAGGCCAAGAAGGCGGCGATGAGGTCGATGAGCTTCATGAGCAGGAGATGGTCATGCTGCGTCAAGACAAAGCAGCCTTCCTCGAGCGGGTAGTTGCGCCGAGTGAGGTGCGAGTTGGGGAAGAGCGTGTCGTCCCAGTCGAGCACGATGACGGTCGACGGCGCGGGCGGGCGGACCGGCTCGTACGTCGGGCGCGGCAAGGCGCAAGGGCGACGGACGACGGTGACCATGAGGTTGTTGCTGGAAGAAGGTTAGTTGTTGCAAGTTGCCAACTGTCAAGATCGCAAAACGGGCTCGCGTGTTTTAAACTCAGACGGACAAAGATATGCCCGGAACTTCAAGGACGTCAAATAGACTTGATTTCAGTATGGGACGTCGAAAAAAATACGAAAATTACATTTCAGCCAATGAGAACGCACGCCGCACGCCCATCCGGTGCTCACTAATAGCCAATCACAGGTGAGGTACAGTTGAAGTTGTCCCAGGAACCAATCGGTCTCCATCCAGGTGGAGCGTCGAGTAGTATTAAAATATGTTTCCATTTAATAAAGTAGCACGCTGGACACATCGGTGCGGCCACCATGCACTTGGTGTTTGTATGTATTTTATTGTTTTGCGTCAGAGCTCGACCGTGTCCATCGACTGCGTTATTTTATGACGCTGAATTTAATAAAATCAGAACCCAACTTCTGCCACATCGCGCGTGGTGTTGATTGATGATCATCATTTTACGGTGATTTTATTTTATTTTTATTTTTCCTTGAAGCGGAGATTGGGCGAGGAGCTTCAACGGCGTTCGGGGCGCGCATGTCGCGTTTTGATTGGCTGAAATATAGCTGAGCACGCCATTCGATTGGCTGCCATTGGTTGCCAGACGGTCGACCAACATTGCGCCGCCGTCGCTGCCCGCGTCCGCCTTCCCGTCGCCGCCCGCGTCTGCCATCCCGCGCCGCATCCTTCGCGGCTTCGACGCACTGCCTGCATGCGGCATGGAAGGTGCGATATGGATGGCGATGAAGATGGCGCATGGAATAATAGCCAGGCTACACGACGCGCAGCGCTGTCGATCGACGACGCCAAGAACAAGCAACGATGCAAACGACCGCGGTGTCCCAAACGCCGGTGGCCTTCGCCTTCGCGAGCATGGCACGCGCGATATGATTCTCTTGGCGCCGGCGAGGCGCGACGACGCAACCGCAACAACTGAATCGCTGGCTTCAAGAACCAGGGGCCTGGCGCCAGGTCCGCTCTACCGCATTGGCAATCTCCGGACGACGCGCGTGCTCCAGGACTGGGCAGCGCGTGTAATCCAAGTGCGTTCATGCCTATCATACCGACGTCAACGGTCGGTGCTAGGGCCACGTGCGGAGCTTCCTACGACGCCGAGCGCATGTGCGGGAGCGACACGCAGCAGCGCGACGGGACCAGTCGTTGCGTGTCGTCGCCGCCATGAACGACCTCGTCGATGAAGTCGTTCGCACCGAGCTCATCCCGGATCTCTTGATCGAGCTCTTTACATCGCAAACAACAGCGATCGAGGTAGCAACGCATCAACGCAGTATGGCCGTCATTCCTCGTCCAGGCATCACCACGACAGAAGGAGGCAGTGGAGGCAGTCTACGGCGACGTCCTCGATAGCGCCGTGCGCTCGCTCCTCTTGGACATTGTGCACGTAGGTCGCCTCTGAGAATCGTACACTGGATCTGACCAGGCGTGTATCCATCACCTGCAGACAACGATCCAGCGTCTGGTCCAAGAATTCCTGCAGACCACAACGACGGTAGTACCAGACGAGGACCCACTCGAGTCGTTGATGGAAGCCCTGCTCACGGACCTGTTGCGGCCGCGACTTCTTGACGTGGTCCACGAGAGTAGGCCGGCGCCTTTGCATGCCACTGTCTAGTGCGTGTCTTTGTTAGCCATCGCGCACCTGGTGACGTCCTACTTGACGGACACGGACGCGTCCAGTGTCTACGCCGCGCTGCTGATGGACGAATTGCGCTCTGTTGTACTTAGCGCGCACCACGACGAGCAGTGCCACAGCGTGTGGTCTATCGTGTGCGCCGAGGTCTGCCACGTGTCCTTGTCATCCGTCATCGTATGACGATGCTAGACGCTCCCGTCATTGCTTTCAGAGATGGCCACGGTTGCTGTCGAGGAGGCCAGAGACGCGAACGCTGTTCTTTTGATGGTGAAAGATCGAGCGCTCATCGAAGATGCCTCGACGAGCCTGCTGAATCACGCGCTGCTCTCAAGTATGCTGCAGCTTTTGGCGCAGCAAGGCGACCGCATTCTGTTCCAGGTAGTCGTCTTCATGTTACGTGACGTCGGGCTCATGGCCGTTGATGCGGTGCAGGATGCATGCGAGCAAATGCTTTCGCAGGCGATGCTGGCCGCGCTCCTCAAGCGCTTGGTGCGCACCGAAGCCAGCGTCGATAGAACGAGCCGCGTCCTTGTGGATATGCGCAACCGCATTCTGCAGCACCATCTCGCTGAGCTTCTCTCGGTCTGCGTCGCCACCGACTTGGACGCTTATGAGGCGCAACTTGCCGAGTTGGAAGGCGACTAAGCGATCTTGATGTTTGATTATTGCGTGGGCACTCGAGGAACTCGACCAGCAGGCGCGAGATTGGTTGGCAACGAGTGATGGGAGTCTACATCTAGTATCGCAACTGTCCTCGGCCGCAAGCGAGATGGCGGGGGACCGAGCATCATCGGTAGCCATCACCGAGTGGCGCTTCTCTCGCGCCCAAAACCCAGTGAAACAATGGCTCATTCCATAGCAGCGATGCTTTGTGCGGCTCTTGTCGCGGGAATGGCCAACGCGCTGACGAGTGCGGACGTTGTCGCCAACGAGGCGTGCCATCTGGCCCACGGCTTTGGCTCGTTGGCGACAGGCTCGCTCCGTGCGAGTGGTTTCTTCGAGTGCTTCCGCCCGCTCTCGCACATGGACGCCTTCTTGTCGGCGCTCCAACTTCGTCATCCCACGTTGCTGACCTCGTTTCCAGTGGGCTCTGCGACGAGCGGTAAGACAACTCTTGCGCAAGCGACAGTCGTAGCTTGACGCATACCGTAGGGCAGGCGATACGTGCGTACAAGGTGCGGTCCGGCGGTCGACCATCCCAGGCGCAGGCTGCATCGACGCTCTACGTCCAAGCCACGCAGCATGCGCGCGAGTGGATTGCCGCTGCTACTGCTGTCTATGTGATTGCTGCACTCTTGGATACGACGGGATCGACGGGCCTCCCCTTTGATGTGGTCGTCGTGCCCGTCGTCAACGTCGATGGCTACACGGCGACGTGGACGACGGACCAGCGTTATCGGCGCAAGAACCGCCGCGACGTAGACCTCAACCGCAACTGGCCCAACCCGTTCTGGTCGACGGCGGCCAGCGTGCAGCGCGACTCGGACACATATCCAGGCACCCATGCGCTGAGCGAAATGGAAACTTCGACACTAGCGGCGTACCTCAACTCGACGCAGTCGCAGCTATTGGCCGTCGTTGATGTACACTCGTACGCGGGCATGGTGCTGCACCCGTATGCAGACACGCGCACGGCGCCGCCGCCTGTCATGCGTGCCTTGGCCAGTGCGGTGGCAAGCGCTATGGGCAGCAACTACTCGAGTGGGCAGCGGCTCGACGACCAAGTGCTTGTCGGCACCTTTCGAGACTATGGCTGGCGAACGCTCCGCAAGCCGTCGCTGACGATCGAGATTGCAGGCACCGACTTTGTCGTACCCGCGAGCACGATCCGGCATCAGGGGAATGAGGTCGTCGCCGGGCTCTACGCGCTGGCCAAGGGTATCGCCGCGGGTCCGTGAGCTATTCGTGAAGCCGCTAGCATTCGCCTTGCCAATAAGCATAACAAGAGAAGCATGCAAGCGGAATGCAGTGGGCCGAGCTCGAGCTGGCGGTGCGTGGTCGACGTTGCCCACAAGATCCGCTGTGGGCGTAGCACCGAAGATCGAAGGCACCAATAAACATGATGATTTAAATGCGATTCAAATAGAACGTCATAGAATACAGAAATGGCATTGGTTGCTTCGACGAAGTTGTGGCCAAAGATCAAGCGACCAACGATGGACGACGAGCGACAGCGGAAGCGCAAGCTGTACGAGGACGGGGCCAAGCGACCGGAGGATGGCGTCCCGCGCTTCTCGATGGCGACGCAGAAGAAGACCAAGTTCGACAAGGAGCGCGAGGAGCAGGAGCGCAAGAAGCGCATCGCGGACGAGGAGGCCGCCAAGGTCTACGAGTCGTTCGTTGCCTCGTTCGAGCACGAGCCGCGACAGGCGTTCGTGCAAGCCGGCGCGTTGAGCGCACCAGCGTACACGCCGCAGCGGTACGAGACGCCGCCACCGCTGCGCCGCCCGATGCCAGGACCAGCGCGGTCGTCGTCGGCCAAGTCGTCGTCGTCGTCGACGTCGGCAAAAGCCTTTGCGTTTGCGATGGACGACGAGGACGAACCGCCGGTCGTCGACGTGCCCCGCAAGAAGATCCGCGAGATGGACCTCTTTCTCCAAGAGATCAAAGAACAGTACTACCTCCTCTGCTTGCTGAATGGTAATGCTTGACGCAAATGCAGTAAGTTTGAGCCCGCGCCGGCCGTCGACGTCTACCCCCACCGCGACATTGGCGGGTCCCACGACGACGGCGTTGGCGACACGACCAATCTGTACGTCGGCAACCTCCCGCCCACGATCACGGAAGATGCGCTCCGGGTTGACCGCCATCCTCTTCTCACTGCATACTCATGGCACCTGCTAGACGATCTTTGAAGAGTACGGCGCCATCTACTCGGTCAAGATCATGTGGCCGCGCAACGACGAAGAGCGGCTTCGCGGCCGGCTCACGGGCTTTGTATGCTTTCGCCGACGCGACGACGCCGACGACGCGCGTGTGCACTTGAACGAACGCATTGTACGTTGGGTCTCTTCCAAACCCCGGATGCCTCATGACCGTAGGTGGACGGGCAAGAGATCATGGTCGGGTGGGGCAAAGCCGTCCGCATGGACGCCCCCAAGCCGTCCTCGATGTTTGCGCCGCCCGTGGCATTCCCGCGACCGCTCATGACACCGCCACCGATGTTTGCGCGCCCGCCACCGCCTTCGATGGGGTTCCCGCCACGTCCGCCGTTTCCAGGTTCGCGCGTCGCAAGTGCCCACGTCATCCTCGAATGTGCGATAGGACCGCCGCCGCCGCGTCCGACAATGATGACGGGAACGCCATTGTCGGGGCCACCGCGCGGCTTGCCCTTCGCTCGTCCGCCCATCATCGTCGAGCTCCCGGACAAGGATACCGTGCGATACGTCAACCGGTTTGCCGAGTGCGTCGTACGTCAGCATCCCCGACTATGGCTTGTGACATCGTCTCGTAGGCCGAAGGCGGTCCGCAGATGGAAGACGCGATGCGGCTGCGCCCGGACGACCGGTTTCTGTTTCTGACCGACCACAACTCGAGCTTGTTTCACTACTACAAGTGGAAGGTGCTCTCGCTGCGGCGCGGCGAGAACGACTACCGCTGGGGCCGCGACCCGATCCCCGGCGAGAACGGGCTCGTGTACCTTCCGCCGCCGCCGCGGGACAGTGCGTCGTCGTCGGTGCGCGACGGCGCGCCGCGGTCTCGGAGCCCGAGTCCTGCGCGGTCGCCGCGCCCAGCCCGCCGCACGCACCACCGCTTCACGCGGGATGCCAACAGTCCACAAAGTCATCTGTCGACCATAGAGAAGGGTGCCGTCATGACCGGGGCCCAGTTGGCGGCGGCGCGGGACAAGGAAGAGTAGGCTTTCTTCTTGCCCCGTCGACAGAGCTACATGTTTGACGTGTAGGGGCCGTCAGCGCAATCTCCTGGACGCAGACGGCTACGACGACTTTTGCGAGCTCCTCGAAGACGTGAGTTTGGAACGGGACGCGATCTGCGATGTGATGGCGTTCGCGCTTGACCACTCGGAGTGCGCCGTCGACATTGTGAGCATCGTCGCCAAAGCGTTCCGCGTCGAGTACGCCGCTGACGATGACGAGAAGTTGCTGCTGCCGCCCATGACCTATGTCGCGCGGCTGTATGTGATCTCGGACATTCTGCACAACTCGACCGCCCCGAAGAAGAACGCGTCGCTGTACCGAACACAGTTTGAAGAGTGTCTTCCCGAGATCATGCAAGTGCTCAACCACGTGCACCAAACGATTGTCGGCCGTATGTCGTTCAATCTGATGCGCGACAAGGTACGTTGCGTGGCTGGATATGGACCGTATGGATAATCAATCTCGCTGTAGGTGCTCTCGGTGCTGAATGCGTGGGAGAACTGGAGTCTCTTCCCGCCATCGTACCTCCTCGGCCTCAACGCGACATTCCTCGCCAAGAAGGACCCGTCCGACGTCGACCCACGCAGCGTCTTGGGCCCCGAGATTTTGAACCTCTCGGAGGACCGCCTCAAGCGCAAGTGCAAGCAAGCAGGTCTTGTCTCGTCGGGCTCGACGCTCGACATGTACGCCTGCCTCGCCATGCTCCAGCGCTTCACCAGCGTCGCGAAAGCACCCACAAGCGCCAAGAACCAGGGCGACGACGACCTTGATGGCGCACCCATGGACGAGATGCCGGATGCGCCCATGGGCGGAGAGGACGATGACATTGATGGCATGCCTCTTGATGGCAACCAGGATGACGACGACCTCGATGGCGAGCCGCTCGACGACGATGTGGACGGCGAGCCGCTGGACGATGTCGATGGCGAGCCGCTCGATGATGACGAGGCAGCATGAGCCCACAAGAGTAGGTAGACCATGCAAGCCATGAGGTTTCGTTGACGAATTACTTCTTACCGGTCGACGAACTATGGTGGTGATGATGATGTGCACTACCAGAAGTGCTGTTGTTGGAAGGAGGATGGTGGATGGAGGTCTTGAGCTTGGCCAGACTCTGCAGCAGCGTGGTTCGGACGACCGAGTCGGCGGCCAGCGTCCTTGCGTGCCTACGTGGGCTGTCGAATGACAGGTCGATCCTGAAAATGACGTACGCTTGGAGTGCGACGAGCTTGGCCACATACGCATTGCGCTCGGCCATAAGCCCGAGCTTGATCGTCTGCACATGCGTCTCGCGTGAGTGTGCATCGTGCTAAGGACGCTATGTGCATATAGAGACGTGGGCGGCAGCGGGCGAAAGGATATGGCAGATCGAGTGGAGCTTCTTGAGCTGCTGGAGCTTCTCGATGGCCGCGCTGTCGTCCGCCGCCAGCGGTGCATCAAGCGCCGCAAGGGAATGAAGCGTCTAATGGGGCCGTTGGCACTTTGATGCATATCGGCGTGCGTACGTCATTGACGTCGTGCCACACGCGGTCGGGATCGGGAGCGCTTGGACGGTCGGGTGCGCCTGCAAGTGCTGCGTGGGCCGTGATGACCGTTTCCGCTCAGCGCCTACCTGAGCTTATGGCTGGCGATGGCTGCTTGATGATCGACGTCGGCGCAGCATGGTGCTCGAGCGACATGGACGGATGGAACTCCATGAGCGGTGCGGTCATGAGCGGGATCTTGCCAAGCGGTGCCACGATCGACGGTGGAATAGTGTGTGAAAATCTTCATATAGTGTAAATGGTCTTATAGTACAGTATTCTCGGATCTACACTATATTACAATAAAACCTTTGAAACTGTATATTAATACATTGATAGTGTGAGAGATTGGATCCATACGTTAAAGCTATCATTTATCGCGCTTTTCTTGCGGTCGAAAGATCGACGGGGTATCCATTGCTAGAGGTTCTCGGCCAAAGAAACTAAGCCGCAGAAATCAAAGCTTCTGAGCCGCAGACGGAGCAACATGGTATGCGAGGCCGGCGTCGTCCAGATGCTATGGCAATGACCCGAGGCTCATGGCCTATGTAGAGCATCATGGCCTACAACGGGGCCGCCATCATCGCGATGGCGGGCAAGGACTGCGTCGCGATTGCCTGGTACGACGAGCACCATCCTCGTGCCGCAATCTTATCCTGCGATGACTAGCGATACGCGCATGGGCGTGCAGGGCCAGACGATCTCGACCGACTTCCAAAAGGTCTTCCGCCTCAACGACAAGACGTTCCTCGGCCTCTCTGGCTTGGCCACGGACGTGCAAAGCGTCTCGCAGCTCCTCCGCTTTAAGCTCAACATGTACAAGATGCAAGAGGAACGCGAAATCAAGGCCAAGACGCTCAGCGCCATGATCTCCAACATGATGTACGAGAAGCGGTACGTACATGTCAGCGTGCCATGGCGACTGCAGCGCTCACCGCAGGTTTGGCCCCTGGTTTGTCGAGCCCATCGTCGCCGGCTTGACGCCCGAGAACAAGCCGTTCCTTTCGAGCATGGACTGCCTGGGCTGTGAGCTCTTCACGAAGGACTACGTCGTCGCAGGGACAATGGAAGAAGCCTTGCACGGCATGTGCGAATCCCTATATCGCCCCGACTTGGTACCTTCCACCTCGCGAGATGCGTCTTGGGACTCATGCGTCTGCTGAACAGGAGCCCGAGGACCTCTTTGAAACCATCTCGCAGTGCCTCTTGTCGGCGTGCAACCGAGACGCGCTCTCGGGCTGGGGCGGTGTCGTCCACATCTTGTACATTGTGGCACCTTGTCTCGCTCTTGCTGATCATGCCATTGTCGCGTAGGACCAAGGACGGCGTCACCACCAAGGTGCTCAAGACGCGCAAAGACTAAGCGGAAACACGAGTCGTGGGGTCCGCGCACGTCTGGAGCTCATGCCACAATGACCTGGCGTCTTGCCGAACCCGTTCATAAACTCTATTTCTGACATCCCGCTCTCGCCCACATCCGCGTCCTGCGCTCGAGCAGCAGTGTACACAGGCCACCGTACGAATGTTGGCTGCATCTGGCAAAGTGCCACATCTGGTCAACCCGTGGTCTGGATCTGGTTGGGTCCGACATATCTAGTTGGATGGGAGTTCTCATGATGCGCCCAAGACGCTAGTGTCGTTGGTCGAGGCCGGCGCATCGCGCAGAGTACTGTATGCCAACGGCCGCGCCGCTTGGCGGCGTCGACGAAACCAGGCCCATCCCCAACGTGACCAAGGCAACTTCAACAAGTTGGCCCGATACGGTACGCAGAGAAGACGTCGCCGGTCCTGCAAGCAGCATGCTAGCGCGCCTCGCTCGGCGCTGCATGAGCCATCGAGCTCGTCGTCGTCATCGCCATCGTCGTCGTCCAGCAGCAGCGTCCCATGCGTCTCTTCTCTACCTGCGACACCGCGTTTCGATTCCACGTGTTTGATTGGTCAAAATCCAGCGGAAATCGACCCGGCGATACAAAAATAGGCCCGTCGGCAAGCATCAAGCATGCGCGGTCGCCCCGTCCTGGTGCTGGCTGCCAGCCTCGTCCTCCTCATGGCCCTCGCCCATGGCATCGTCGCGCCCGGCGAGGTCGAGAGCAGCAGCAGTGGGTCCGCCACGCCGTCGCCGCAGGTGCACCACGAGCGCGCCGAGCCCGACGACGCGGTTGCGGCGCGGTCCTCGGACATTGCCGAGAACATTGCCGAGATCGACATTGAGGTCGACCGCGGCCTGTACAACCCGAGCTCCAACTCGATGGAAGTCCAAGACAGCGATGGCGGCCAGCGGCAGAACTACGCGTCGAAGGACTCTGGCGCGACGGTCCTCGACCATGCGCCGGGCACGAAGGGCTCGGTGAACCTCCTCGTGCCCGATAAGGACCGGTACATGCTCATTCCGTGCTCGGCCGACAAGAAGTGGATCGTCATCTCGCTCTCGGAAGACATCCACGCCGACGCGATCTCGATCGCCAACTACGAAAAGTTCTCGTCGATGACCAAAGAATTCCTCGTACGAATCCGTCCATCGTATCCTTCGTGGAGGCTCATGGCATGCGGTAGGTGCTTGGCAGCATCAACTACCCGACCGATACGTGGGTCGTCCTTGGCCACTTCACCGCGTTGCACAAGAACGGCGACCAGCTCTTCCACTTTCAGGAGAAGCACCATGTGCGGTACCTCAAGCTCCGCCTCAACTCGCATTACGGCGCCGAGTACTATTGCACGATGAGCCAGATCAAGGTCTACGGACGCACGTTTACTCAAGTTATCTCGCAGCTCGAGCGCAGTATTCACGAAGAGCCGACTCTCGCGCCGCCAGCGATCGAACCACCGACGATTGAGGTGGTCGTTCCCTCACCGACCTCAAGTACGATCTTCGACTCGATGTGCCCCGTGCCCGACGTCGTCTTGCCGTGGGACGTGGAGGTGTGTGAGCCGCTGCCAACATCGCCGCCACCCACCGAGAAGCCGACGACAGCACACCAACCGCCAGCAAACGCTTCGGCCGCCAATGCGACGAGCGCAAGCCATGCCCCGTCGACCAAGACCACACCCGAGAACCACAGTCCAGCCGCCACGACCGTCGTCGACGATAGCGCCAACCACACCAAGGCCCACGAGCATGGCAAGACGACCAACGGCTCATCTTCCACGAGCAGCAATGGCGTTTCGGGCGACGAGCAGAAGGGCCTCGACAACTTTTACATTCGCATGTCCAAGAAGAGTACATTTGGAGCTCGTGGATGGTGGTGTTTGATGCAACTACTGACTAGTCCAAGCCCTGGAAGCCAACCAGAGCAGCCTCGAACGCACCGTGTCCGAGACGCTCAAGCCCGCTGCGGTGGACGCGCAGGTATGTGCAGTGTAGAATGGAGTGTCCTTGACAGCGCTGCGTTCGACTAGATCAAGCTCGCCCTCCTCAGTGAGCAAATGAGCAATCTCACCAAAGCCGTGCACGAACTCGTACGTCGACTCGGTTGATAGATTCTTGATACTCTTTGTGCCGTAGCGCGTCATTGTCGACTCGGAGCTCGAGTTTTTGACGTCGTCGAATGAAAAGTACATGACGCTGCTCGAAGGCGTGTACCAAGAGAATCTGTCGTTGCGGGTACCGACAATATTCTCACTGCCCTAGTGTCAAAAGATAAACAAAGGATGCTACGTATAGAACGAAATGCTGCTCGTCTGGGACGTGATCACGACGATGAAGGCGGGCATTCTTGTTGCGATTGTGCTCTCGGCGTTTCTCATTTTGTTCTTTGTCGCCCGAAGCATCTTTCGGTGCCTCACGGGCTGCCATCGGCGTGCGGCGCGGCGCGAGTGGCTCCGGCGCATGGAGTCGGTCGACGAGACAGACGACGAGGTCGACCCGCTCACGCAAGAGATGGACAAGCGCGTCGACCGAACCCTTCGGTTTGGACGAAGCCTCGACGACGGCGCGATCCAGCGCAATACACTGTATCGCCGCGTCATGCACGGCTTTCGACAACACCACGTCAAGAGCCGCCTCCGACTGCGCAAGCCGAGTCTGTGTGGCGCCCCCGTGTCGGCACCAACATCGTCGTTGCTCCCGAAACCCCTGTTTTAATCGTGGAATATTCGCTCATTTTCTGTTGCACAGAATTGAACTATTGCACGAGATGGCACTCGATATTGTCAAATTTGGTGGTACGGTCGGCCGTGGCCAATCGAGTGGCTTTTCGAATGTCGACTCGCATCAAAGTCATGGCGGCTGTACTAGTACCAAGGCCACAAACGCACCTTACTAGTGCATTCTTTTATTCTGGCATCAAATGCAATCGACAGTCTAGTCTTCAACGGGTCTCGCCTCTCTGAGCGTATTTGCCTGCTTCGACTAGTACCGCCCAGGAAGCAAATTTTAGGGTTAGAAAAACCTAGTTGGTCGCCGTCTTTTGCGCCGCCATTTTGTCAAACCACTGCACAATGTACGTAATGAACGGCGCCATGTCGGGTGGGACGTCGCCTTCGGCCAGCGCGCGACGGCAAAAGCGTTCGTAGAACGAACGCTTGAGGTCGACCATGCGCTCCAAGTGCGATAGGTCGGTCGCCGAGAGGGGGCCGCGCACGCTCGTGTAGCCTTCGAGCATCCACGCCTGGTACTGCACCGGGTTGGCCTCGGGCACGGGCGTGCCAGCGATCGGGACGCCGGCGCCCGCGAGCATGATGGGCCCAAACAGCGCTTGCGCAAGGTCGTACATGTACCAGCCGCGCATGGTCTGGTCCCAATCAAACACGGAGAGCGTCTTGGCGTCCGTGAGGAAAAAGTTCGAGCAGTTGAGGTCGCCGTGGATGATGCCAAACGCCGACGGGTCCGCCTCGAGGCTGGTATCGATCGCGTTGAGCGGCGCGCCGGCGAGGACGCCGTCATGAATCGCATCGTAGCGCTGAATCCGCAGTGCTACCTCCGGGTGCTCGTTGCCAAAGCGCTGGCTCAAGACATGGAGGTGGCCAAAGAAGGCGCCCCACGCCTTGACGATCGACGCGTCCAGCATCCATTGCCACGCCATAAAGTCTACCGGCGACCCGTTCGCCCAATGAAAGACTGCAAGGACAAGGCCGTCGACTTCGACCGAGAGCGGGTGCGACGGCGAAGGTGCCTTGGGCGGCACTGGTGCGCAGACGTGGTCGAGGCCGGCGCCGGCGACGTACGAGACGAACGTGAGCTCGTCACGGATGCGCTGGACGTGGCGGCCCGTCGGGTCGGGCGTCACGCGCACCGCGCACTTGGCGCCGGTCGCCTCGTCGACCGCATGAAACGTGTGGTTCTGCGAGGCCTTGATGCGCGCGCCGAGCGAGAGATCGTAGTGCGTCGCGACGATGGCGGCGACGGCGGCAGCGTCGATCGGGAGCGTCTGTTCAAAGAGAGGCATATTGGGATGTGGCCTTTCTGTGTGGTCCGAAACCAAAAGACCAGCATTCGACATGACATACATTCTGTGCCACTCAAACGCCAACGGCACGTTCGGCGCACAAGCAAGATGCCGTGTCGCCGGTAGCGTCGCAATGTGGACACTCTGTCTGTATTCGATTGCTCATGGTACGCTTAGTGCAAGCCAACGTTGAATTTAAACGCGTGCGCGCCGATGTCAGGACTGCGGCTGCGAAGGACGCACTTGTTCAGCTACACTCTACAAACCGGTGCTGTAGTGTGCGTCGATTGCTAGCGATAGAATGATACGAGTGTAAGTGGCTGTTGAAGAAGTTGCGTGCTCTCAGCTCCAAGTGGCTCAACAACGTTAGTTTTGTCTTATGGAATCGACGAGCTCTAGCCAACATCATGGAAGGCGCGACTCCATTCCCCTGCGGAAAGCCGAGGCACATCAGAGAAAGACGACGTACGATAAGGGATCACATTCGCACATGTGAAGCGCGCGAAAACTGCGGCCAGCGACGCGCCATCCTCACAAAACCGTT